TCTGCGTTCAGCTCGCTCGGCATTCAGCTCGCTCGGCGTTCAGCTCGCTCGGCGTTCAGCTGGCTCTGCGTTCAGCTCGCTCGGCGTTCAGCTCGCTCGGCGTTCAGCTGGCTCTGCGTTCAGCTCGCTCGGCGTTCAGCTGGCTCTGCGTTCAGCTCGCTCGGCGTTCAGCTCGCCCTGCGTTCAGCTCGCCCTGCATTCAGCTCGCTCTGCGTTCAGCTCGCTCTGCGTTCAACTCGCACTGGTTTCAGCTCGCTCTGCGTTCAGCTCGCTCTGCATTCAGCTGGCTCTGCGTTTAGCTCGCTCTGCGTTCAGCTCGCTCTGCATTCAGCTGGCTCTGCGTTTAGCTCGCTCTGCGTTCAGCTCGCTCTGCATTCAGCTGGCTCTGCGTTTAGCTCGCTCTGCGTTCAGCTCGCTCTGCGTTCAACTCGCACTGCGTTCAGCTGGCTCTGTGTTCAGCTGGCTCTACGTTCAGCTGGCTCTGCGTTCAGCTGGCTCTGCGTTCAGCTGGCTCTGCGTTCAGCTCGCTCTGCGTTCAGCTCGCCCTGCGTTCAGCTCGCTCTGCGTTCACCTCGCACTGCGTTCAGCTCGCTTGGCGTTCAGCTCGCCCTGCGTTCAGCTCGCTCTGCGTTCAGCTTGCTCGGCGTTCAGCTCGCTCGGCGTTCAGCTCGCTCAGCGTTCAGCTGGCTCTGCGTTTAGCTCGCTCTGCATTCAGCTCGCTCTGCGTTCAACTCGCACTGTGTTCAGCTCGCTCTGCGTTCAGCTCGCTGACACTGATTCTCTTCAGGTGAGATGGATCGTTTCAAGGCTCCAGTGTTTCCTCATTCATACCTTCAAGTCTTTTCTCTATTAAAGTATCACAGCAGGTGCTTCTCCAGCTCAGCTGCTCATCGTTAATTAACATCAGTCCTCTGATCCTTCAAAGGTCCCCGGCTGGTTTTATACTATTTTCTCTGTCAATCATGGCGATTTGATGGATAAATCATGTCTTTCCAGCGTTTCTTTCATTATTCCAACTCATGCTTTGTCACAGATTTTAATTTTAAGGAAGTCTGAATTTAGAAATCAAAGTTTTGTGGAAAGTAGTTGTTTTCTATTGCCAGTGATTTTAATTAAATAATTTTCACCTTATATTTAGAATATATTTGAATAACGTTTTGGTCTAAACGTTAATCCCACATTATCCGTATATTAGATGAATAAATCTCGAGTTACTGGAACCCAAATTCCTTAATCGACTCAATAAATCCGTTCACCAATTTAATTTCTCCAGGCTAAACATGATCCACTGAAATCATCAGCTGGGTAAATATTTGTGTAAATAACCTTCTTTTAGGTTTGGATTATCACAATCAATCAATCAAGTCTAAACGCCTGGTGGACAAGGAAGACCATCCCACTCTGGAAAACTGTTGATCATGGAAAACTGTTGATCATGGAAAATTGTTGATCATGGAATACGGTTGATTATGGAATACTGTTGATCATGGAAAACTGTTGATTATGGAATACTGTTGATCATGGAATGCTGTTTATTATGGAATACTGTTGATCATGGAAAACTGTTGATCATGGAAAACTGTTGATCATGGAAAACTGTTGATTATGGAATACTGTTGATCATGGAATACTGTTGATTATGGAATACTGTTGATCATGGAATACTGTTGATTATGGAATACTGTTGATCATGGAATACTGTTGATTATGGAATACTGTTGATCATGGAATGCTGTTGATCATGGAAAGCTGTTGATCATGGAATGCTGTTGATCATGGAAAACTGTTGATCATGGAATGCTGTTGATCATGGAAAACTGTTGATCATGGAAAGCTGTTGATCATGGAATGCTGTTGATCATGGAAAACTGTTGATCATGGAATGCTGTTGATCATGGAAAACTGTTGATCATGGAATGCTGTTGATCATGGAATGCTGTTGATTATGGAATGCTGTTGATTATGGAATACTGTTGATCATGGAATACTGTTGATCATGGAAAACTGTTGATCATGGAAAACTGTTGATCATGGAAAATTGTTGATCATGGAATACGGTTGATTATGGAATACTGTTGATCATGGAAAACTGTTGATTATGGAATACTGTTGATCATGGAATGCTGTTTATTATGGAATACTGTTGATCATGGAAAACTGTTGATCATGGAAAACTGTTGATCATGGAAAACTGTTGATTATGGAATACTGTTGATCATGGAATACTGTTGATTATGGAATACTGTTGATCATGGAATACTGTTGATTATGGAATACTGTTGATCATGGAATACTGTTGATTATGGAATACTGTTGATCATGGAATGCTGTTGATCATGGAAAGCTGTTGATCATGGAATGCTGTTGATCATGGAAAACTGTTGATCATGGAATGCTGTTGATCATGGAAAACTGTTGATCATGGAAAGCTGTTGATCATGGAATGCTGTTGATCATGGAAAACTGTTGATCATGGAATGCTGTTGATCATGGAAAACTG